GTTTAGCTGCCCTGTACCATCTTTTCCTTTTGTTATTCGGGTTGCTGATTTTTCAAATAATCGTGATTGCATTTTCAAACCTCTCTTCCTCAAGCTGGAAAGCGAAAAACGAAGATTGGCAAGCTATTCTACTTTCACCATCAAATTTTTGTCCATTAAACTAACTTATCTCTAATGCAACTCGCGTCATAAATGAGCGATAGAAACTACAATGAAAATGAATTCCTTTTACACGTTCCTGAAAGTAATGAAGTCACAAGTTTTATAAACTAGAACCAATGCGGTAGGCAAAACGTTATTTAAATATCAAAGAGCTAGAAAACGAACTTGAAATCTGCCTCGCACCTCTGAAGATATTTTTTGAAAAGACAACATTCACTTCGAAAACTCGGTTAATGTTTACAAAAACTTCTTCGAGATCTTACAAATACCAAGCAAAGAGTCCATTAAAGCGTGAAAAATAATTTGAATTACAGTTGCTACAGAAAATCTGAAAATAAAGATAGATAAAATATGAGCAAACAGATAATTTGTTCGTACACAACAACCTGTCGGAAAGGCAACTCCTCGAATAACAAACTTGACAGCGTATTGTAGGAGCAAAGGAACAGTGCAATATGATGTAAAACGTGCTCTTGGAATGACTATGTAATATTTAGCATCGAAACTTTATATTGGCATCCACCGTGGCAATCCGTCCATAACTGCATTGAGCAAACAGATTTGCGGTTTTGTAGTCCGTAATAACAACACCTTACTGCATTATTATTACACTGGCCCCTATGCATAAGCCTTGACGTTACCTACTTCGTGTTTAATTTTAGACTGTGGATTTGGAACATACTAAGACTTCAACATTGTGAAATGGTTGCACATATCCCGTATGGATTGAAAAACTATTTTGGATTCAGTCTATTCCGATGTAGAGAGATTGCTGCTGTTGACAGTAACATATATTGTGGTGCGGTTTTTTCGTAAGCGTAAAAGTAATACAGCATACATATGGATGGACTACGTAACTTCGTCATATTAATTGATCATGTGCAAATATAAAGGACTGCACGTAGTGTAATCAATGAACAAGGAGATAAGAATGTCCTCTACAAATCTTATTTCGTTCATTTTGAAGATAGAGTAAGAGATAAAGAAAACTGTAACTGGTAACGGGTGATTAGCGAATTCTCAGATATGTGGGGGAAAGGGTTCAATATGACAGATTCATGACGGAAACGTGCTGGCGGTATCTGCCAAAGTGGCAGAAGCTACTCTGACGATTCTGGCCACAAAACGAGAGTGTTCCCATCATTTTCAACGTCATGATGCCTTTAACTTCAATCTTTTTTTGCGACTCCTCATCCCCAACTTTCAGCTGTTGCTTTTTGTTGTTTTTGCCGTCATTTATTTTTTAAAATCTTGACCTATTCACATTACAAGTTGCATAAGTCTCTGAAATTTTAAATTATGTTTTTTCACATGGCAGAGTCACAAGAGCAAAATATACAGCCTATTGAACCAGGTTTTGATAACTAACGTGCAGGAATTATCTTCCACAGATGAATGACTGTTAAAGCTGAAAAATGAAGAATGAGTAAAACTGGCTTATTTATGCATAGCGCACGCAAACAAGTTTGTCACTCGTGTGATTGACCAGTACCGATGTTTCGGCTCTCTTTCACAGGCTTCATTAAGGCTGTTTGGGTTGATTCCGGCAGATAATTTTGTGGTTTGCAGATACTGTGATGCATGGAGCCCAAAGGTCATAAATAAATCGTTTTTAGACACTTTTCAGTTTTCAGCGTGATTTCCAAGGCATGAACAGAATGTTCCATCATCAGATTGTTAAGACAGTTTGATGAAACATAAAAACAGAAACTTCGATGCCTTCTATATGGCATTTTTGCTAAGATCAAGATTATTCTTCAATATTTTACTAATGTTAAAAAAGATTCTCTGTTCTGACAGCGTGTTTAAAAATTTGACTGTCGATTTTAACAAAATTTGTTCAACAGATCGTTTACTGAAATTGCCTTCGCTTTTCCCATTTTTTATCGTTCCACTTAACAACTTTACGTCGTCAGCTTAAGTGTAGTTATTAGACTCTAAGAACTGGAGTTTCACAGCTGTTACAGCGTCGGATACATAATCATTAGTCATAGATTCGAGACGCAGTATTTGTCTTACTGACGTAGGTAAACAATGACAACATGTGTTACACCTTCGATGATTACCACATCGAATAAATAGCCACAATGTGGGTCAAGACGGATTGCAGTCTTATGATTCTCTCAAAGCGGAAAAGGTAGCCAGTTTTATTGTGACCATGCCGAAACACCATGATGACTCATTTTGTTCGTAATCCAACACCTTGCTACTCGTTCCTGGGCTTGAAAAACGCCTTGCATAAGATTGCGCCAAGACAAAGATTGTACCGTCTGCATATTCGAACCTGTCATCCCGGAGTTGCAACCTTATGTTTTTAACACTGTCACTGCCCCCATACCACCTGTCATAAATGAATACCATTTTGTAAAAAAAACAGGAGACTACACGCTAATGTTCATTAAAATACAGATACTCTTCTGTAGGATATGCACTAAAACTGATATCCCAACGCCAACGCTAATTTCGAAGCGCTTCAACAAGTTTTGTGTGAATCATTAGAGATCTGACTGCTTAACCTGCGAATAGTAACTGAGATACTGTATTTTATACATATGTAGTAATTTTTGACCATGGGAAACTTATAACGAGTAAGAAAGGGTATTAGTCCATGCATAGATTGAAATAAACTTTGAAAATAAAGAACTCTTACATTAATTAGCTAAACTTAAGTTTTGAATTAGTGAAATGTTTGTTCATTCGAAATAATGACTGGCACTATCCTATACAACGGGTATATTGGAATTATTTGCAGTACATTTCACTCAGTTTGTGCCCTGTAGGCGAAAGTCGTATAAATATTAAAAACCATTCTACTTTGTGTTAACTGTGAGAAGTAAGGCTTTACTAAATTAATTGATTCGGGTTTAATAAGCTGTAACACGCCTTAAAATTGATAATGTCTTCAGAAGAAAAATGCAGTTCCGAATGTATTATTCACAAGATCTGATTGTAAAAAAATATAGACTAGGAATGTTTCTTTTTTCGATCCATTTTTATTTTAATTTTCGCTATGTGGCCTTCAAGAATCGTGGTGGCAGAGTAGTAAAAGCATGAGGTTTGAACTCCGCTGGTGCCTAGTCGGAATTCGGAGAATTTTCAATTTTTATCTTAGCCGCGAATTACCATGAGTAAGGAATTTACTACACTAAGCATTGCTTCTCTAAACCCAGCCAAGAAATAGATATGAAGTCGTGAACTTTCGAATAACGGGATACGCTTTATCTTAGGATATGGAATTTTTGAACATTGGTATGGCGTGAATATGAGTACTCTCTGGACGTCAGTGATTAATAGGAAGTTGTCAACATTATTCTCTGCTGATTTCTTATGAACCAAAATTTTGTCGCATCGATTTAACTTTTATCGCATCGGTTTTTGTTATTCTGTCCTGACAATGAGCCAAATATTGCTCGAAATATCAGTAATTTCTGTAATAAAATTTCTTTGTAGATGAATCCTTTAAAAAGCGTGATGGCAGTGGAATTGATCGCCTGCATAATTATAAATTCATTGTTGAAGTTAGTTGGGGAATTGTCAGCGGCTTTCTACATGAATTAGCCCAGCCGTTGTCACTACAACAGAACTGGGTTTCAAGAATATGCTCTCTGTGTTCAGGTCGATCTTCATGCTCACCTATGGTCATGAATCGTGGGTCGTTAGTAAAAAATACGATTCCGGGTACAAAGGGAAGAAATGAGTTTTCTGAGACGAATCGCTGGGCTCACTTCTTTTTCGACATAGTCCTGAGTACAGACATCCGAGAGAGCATTGGTGTACACTAGCTGTTTCTCCAGATGGAGAAATCACACCTACGATGGTATTGGCACGTCTTAACAAATGCTTTTAGAAAGAAAGAAGAAACAGCTATTATTTGCCCGGAGGCAGCCAAAAATAACTTGATGCAAATCATGGAAGGAGTCTGCTCTGGGGTTCGGTTGTCTTCTGCCGAAGCCCAGACTCTGGCACAGGATCAGGAACGTGGAAAGCACTGTCTATGGCGGCTGCCTCCACGATCCGAAAGGATAAGCGGTCATTGAAACTGACTGACTGATTGACTCACTCACTCACTATTCAAGTGAGTAACGAAAATGATTATATTTTTTATTCGTAGTTATTCATAGTTCTAGTTCGTTACCGTTGAGCGATGTTGACGTTCGAAAGATAATTAAACAATTATGCTGCGGTGAATTTTGATTTGTATTTGTAAACTTTTTTGTTTTCGACTTTTGGTAGTGTTCGATTTTATGTATTGCATTTTGGTCGCTTTTCTCGATTTATCGTCCTTGTTCTTTTCATGAAGCAAGAAACAAACAGTACTCTGAAAAGTGAACAGCGATCGCGTTTGCAGAGGTCGTTTTAAGTGGCAGCACCATGGGTGATTTAAAGAACAAATCGAACCAGAAGCCGCCGGCACAGGAGCCTTCTTTTCCATTGCAACCAAGCTTGAACGAAATTTTGTCTGAGATTGATGTGTCTTTCCGTGATCCTGTGTTTTTGTACGAAGACGACTGCTTTCGAAAAAAAGATGACCTTCTCGAAAGCATAGATGATAATGCGAACTTCAGCTCGCAAGGCCAGGAGGCAAAGTCCGAGGTGGCCGAAAAGATGTCTGATTACGACTTTGCCGCTACACTGTTCTGCAAGTACCGGCAGATCTCGGAGGCCGAAGACGACTTGAAAGAAAAACTGCAAACAGTGACCCGCCTCAAGGACACTTTGAAAGATCGCGTTTCTGACGTTGAGCTACTGAAGAACAGTAAGTAATTTACATTATGAATGTGTTGATAATGAGCTCGGTCTCGAAGAAGTCAGTTCGTTTAATTTTGCACGTCTGTCTCTCGTGGTTCTGTCTGTGTGTTCATGAGATATTATTTTTGAAATGGAAGAAACCTTAATTGGTTGGCAGTGGAATTTGAAACGTACTCGGTTTCTTTATTGAATGCATTAAATGTTTATATTACTGAATAATGTTAGTATGATGATGCGCTTATGGTGGTTGTGTTTTGAAGAACTGTTGATAGTCGTCGCTGATATTGTGCCGTCAGAAATATTTTGTGATGAATGCGATTTCTTTGATAAAAAGGCAATTGGAATCGTTCGCATAGCTGAATGAACATAAGCATAATGAAAATTTCCTCACTGCACGAGTAGTCCATCCGCAAGTCTGCTTGATTTGGGTGCCGTCTTCCACTGATTTTCTGCCTCAGCCTTTCAAGGAAAATCCTGGAGAAAGATTTCCCCGGCGTTGGCGGTACTGTGATGTCACGTTAATTAGAACGCAGTATCACCCGATTCCCTTGATCTGTATGAACAGTTACTCCACACTTCCGTGCTCCTGGGAAAGGTTTGTACATCTACATTTCATGAAACAATACAAAGGACTTTTCTACCATTCCCGTTCCTCGATACTTAATTAGCTCCGGAGGAATTTGATTCACTCTGCAAGCATTCTTTACCTTCAGGTTTAGCAAAGCAATATAGGTTTTAATTTTTCTACGTGGATCCATACTAACTTCTAGTGTTGGCAGACAACTAACGGTCACAAATGGCGGATCTGCTGGTTAGGCACTGTTGGCCTCACATAACGATGACAAAACAACACCTGAATTCCAGTCATAATTCATCATGTTAAAATTCTTGAACACTCCAGTGGTGATGCGTAAAAAATTTTAAATACAGACGTTGTTCTCAAATGTATGATGGCCAGACTTGGGCAATTGCAACCCTTGCTAGCAGAAATGCACAGTGTCACAGTAACAGCCAACACATGAACTTCACAGCAGTTGTACCAATGAGGCAAAGCCATGGAGGAAAAAGCTGAGAAAGCAATTGACGAACAGTCAATGATGGAGCTTGAGCACAAGATCGCCAAACAAGTCTGCCATCAAAATAGGTTTGCATTCACAATGGACTTTACATCAGGAGAAAAGCAGAGGTGCTGTAAATCGGTTATCTTAATCACTCAGATATATTTGGAAATTCATAAATACGGTGTCGTGGAGAAAGCAGCACTATAAGTTTTAGTTTCAGAGGCGTGCCAGCAGTATTTCACTGGAACTGAATTGTTTCTAGTTCGGGTCATTCGTAAAATGGCAAATTTTCGACCTTCTAATCGATAGTTCAGTTACTCGTTCGAGCACGTGATTCCGGAATGGTCCCAACTAATGATTAAAAGCAGCGTAGTTCTCCGTCGGTGCCACGAATACGTTTTGGTCGAACCCCCTGTGATAGTGTAGTGCATCTACCATCCAGAGGTGCTCCGGAAATTTGGCCCGTTTAAGTGAGCCCTAAATTCTTAGAACCAGGGTACAGCGTGATTACCGTATATCCGCTGTAATGACATGTATCTTTTCACATTCATCAGTGTTATTTACCTTGTTATTTTTATTTTTTATACATGAAAAACATGATTCTTTCGTGATCTTATTCAAACAATTAATTTTAAAAACTTGCAAGGCAAAAAATCATATTGAGCAATACATTGCCGGTTCGATCGGATAATGAGAATATTGTAATCGTAGCTGTGAACTTCGCTTAATATCAGCCTGAAGTACCGTTCCCAAAGCTCATACATCGGATTCCTCTGTTTCTCAAGCTCCCTTAACCTCAGGAGCAACTCACATCACACGGCTTAGAGTCTGAATGATAAAGAACATCGATGGTAAAGGGTTGCCCCCAGACGCAGAACCGCAAGTTCCGGGTTCAAAGCCTGCTTCGATCAACTAACTTTTTTTCCTTCCGATCCTTGGTAAACGAGTAGCACTCTATGGGATGAAAACAGATTGCTTATTAACCATGCCATATAGGTGTGGATTTGACCGTAAAAATGCGGCACTCCTGACTAATGACATGAAAAAGTATATCAACGCCCCACCATAGGCTTTATGAAATGAGGAGTCCAGAAAATGGTTATCAATCATAACATTGTAAAGTAAACCGACACCAAACAGAACTTTCATTTTCTTTACATTTTATAGTCAAAACTATGAAAATGCGGCGTTGTTTCTGTTGCCACAAAGTTTGACTTCATACCTCCAAATGGAGAATGACCATTTTACTCAAATGTATGAAGCATGGCTGAACCACTCATACGGAAAAGTTTTGCAAACCGGTCAACGTTTCCCACAGCGGCAAAATCACCAGCACTGAATAGTGTTAGCGTATGCCCTGGTCATCTTAACCATGGTTCTTAGCCATTGATTTTGTACCAGGCCTTGCTTAAAGTTATGTTGCCCTGAACCGGTGATGTCAGCACCAGGTGGGAAACGTGCTGCGGAATAAACCTTTTCATTGGAAGCGTGCTCATAGAAATAGCACCGGCAGGAACCTTGCTGCCAATGAATGCCGATTGGCTGCTGCACTCGAAAAACACTTATAAAACAGCCGGTCAGTGAGGAAGACTTGACATGCAAATTTTTCAGATGAGTCTAGTGGTCTCAGTGTCGTGTCACCTGTTTGTATTCATAAGAAAAGATAAAACTGAACGACTTGGCAGCGATGCGTCTCATCCTCAAACGCAGACCAGTCTTCAAACGGCTGACGGAATGAACCCTCATAGGATTCAAACGTTCATGGGTTATGTACCACAGTGCTAATGGATTAAGCTCTCATTGGACCACCGATAATAACGGACTAAGATCAAAAGTGCTGCCTGGACCTGGCTAACTGTTCGGTATATGATGGATTTCAATGAACATGTTTGACGCAATTGGTCGTTTTGTCAATCATAGACGTCGAGCGTTTATGCCTCTAACTGCAGTCCGTTATAAAACCAAGTTTTTGCTGACCAGGTGTATGGGGTAATCACGTGAAACGATGGGGGGGGCGGTGTTGAGAAACGTCTGTTCAAAGTCCGACATTAATTCCATTAATTCTTCTAATGAAAATCTTCAAGATTTCCCTTATTTGACATTTAACTAAAAGTAGAGGAATTTATGCTACAAGCTACAAAGCATATTTTAAATCAATAGATAATAAATTCAACCTAAATTTATGTCAATCAAGACAGTCTTTGTTCTGTCTTTAATTTTCACCCCTGCGGTTCAAAAATTTCCGTTCTTCAAGTACTAGAACATCTGATTGGAGACGTTTTGTTGACTTTTGTGAAAAGTTTACTAAATTCTTTATTTAGTTGTGGAATCGCTCAGTTCATAGATTCTACTTGCGAAATTACAATTGTTTCGACTTCTTTGTGGACTCAATATAGAGGCGTATGTAATTTCTCTGCTGCATATTTATCGAATAAAAAACGAGATTGGGTTTAATCCCTTGCATTAAAGAACAATGTGCAATTTTTTATATTAATCACTAGCAATATTAATATTTTATTTTCTATGACTGCCAAAAAATATTGTCAGTCTTAGCATCTGTCAAGATTAAGATTGTCACTGTCAGATTATGTGCTACGATGAACCGCAAATGATCTAATTCATATTTCTCTGATAATACTGGCTTTCGTTAGACGGAGATCTTCTATAGGACATCATGACTGTTTTGAATTATAATTGAAGAAACACAAACTGCGAAATTCCAGAAAACTTCAGGGTATCGGTGGAGGGGGGAGGTGTTGTCACTCAATGAGTGTTGTCGTAACTTCAACATGAATGACCGTTTGCTGAAACAATTCAACAGATCAATGGTAAGAATTTCTCCTGCATTGTTCATGCGATTTAATTTGAAGCTGACTATCATAAGCCGTTATGAAAATCATCTTATCAGCTGTTATCATCAGCTTAATCTAAAGCTGTTATGAAAGGTAGACAGTTTACACTTTCTGATTGTGGTTTATTTGTGCGCTCTTTCCACTTTAATTTAATCAGCAGATATGTTCGATACGGGGATTGACGTGATACCATTAGAAATCAGCCACAGATGATTTTTTTAAATTAATTTTTTTTAAACGTGCTGATGCACGGATCTGTGACAAATTCGACTCAGTCATGCTTTGTTTGCGGATGATCTCGCTATGTTCTGTTTGTCGAATGATGACATCGGATGTACGTTTCAACTCTTCGCTGCTACGGACGACGAGGCCAGCACGAAAATCAGTTTTATCAAAACCGTGATTTTGCACTACCAGGAAAGGTTATGACTGTGCTCAGCAAATAATCAAAGTGCAATTGGCGTAGACAGGCATTTTTAAACATCCCGGGATACTATTCAATGAGTGATGACTTGTATGCCGTGGAAATGCGCATGTGGCTTTGCCAGCTGTGCACTGTAATGCAAGAGTTGAGCCGTAGTGCGGCGGCGCTGCCCGTTTTTTGGGTATGTATACGCGGTTGCTTATGCTTAAATATAGCCATGAATCGGGGTAATGCCAGAAATAGTGCGATGACTGAAATAAGCAGAAAAAATTAGGTTGCTTGGTAGACTTGCCGCGGAGACGGAACTCACAACAAGTTTGAGTTTCTCATCGACATTTGGCAGCCAACTTGGAGATACATTCACTTGTGGGCCTCTCGTACTCCGCACATCGAGAGGTCATGAATTAAATTGCTTTTCCCTGTGATGATAAAGCAACAGGCGATACCATCCAGCGTTCTCTTGCCAGAATCACCGAGACAATAACTCTGAGCCAGGCAGAAGAGCAGGTGGCTTGACTATATGTAAACTTGCATTGTTGTGTCAGAAATCCCCTCTTATCTGACCCATGTGACGGATGACTTACACCATTGTAAAGACTCAAATAAGCTGCTTCTCCGATAATAAAAAAAATTTTGTCCATCTTCACAACTGCTCATACCTTTTGATGATAAATCGCA